ATGTCTTTTGGTCATTTGCGATCGTTTTAGTCTTCTTATACTCTGGTTCTTGGTGATTGTTATGAAGTCTGATAGCCAAGCACAACACTGAAGATGGCGAAATGCAGAAACGCTTTTGAATTATCAACGATCAACCCAGCGAGGATAGGCAAACCAAAATGATTGCTAAAGACAAAGCACAAGTTCGTCATTCCTCAGAACACAAGGACAAATCTCACATGAAAGACAAGCTTAGGATTACTCAACCGCGGACAAAAATGACGAAAAATGCACATATTTGAACACTTACACGTTTACAAACATTCAACACTAACAGCCTCATCAATACACAATTTATTTACACTATTAAAAAGAGAAGAAGCACTGAAAATCACAAGGGCAGAATATAAACAATAAAAAAATCAAGATTTCCCTGAAAGTTAGTCACAAATGAATAAAGACACACTTCTATCGTCTTAACAGAAATCCCGCACTGGAAATGACGAGAAGCCAAAGGTAATACCGACAAAATGACACACAGATGAAAACAGCAAGGGTAGGCGGATCTGAAATTTCTGAAACGACGAAGCTACGGTTTCACCATCCCGCATACCTCAAGAAGAAATGTCATAAAGATGAAGACATGGTAAAATTTCATGCTATTTTTGAAGGATTGCCTGAGAAAAAAAAAGTAGAAACTTTTCTGAAAATAATTTAGGTGAAATTTTTATTTTGAGTGAAGACGGAGTCGTCTGTTGACACTCAAAATAAAAATGCACTGAGGAGGAGGCGTTTTACCATGTCTTCATCTTTATGACATTTCTTCTTGAGGTATGCGGGATGATGAAACCGTAGCTTCGTCGTTTCCGAAATTTCAGGTCCGCCTACCCTTGCTGTTTTCATCTGTGTGTCATCGTTAGTAAACATGAATGTTTTTTTTTCCAGATTGTCTATTATTTAAATATTTTGACAGTGTATTTTTGCTGTATCCCTTGAAGAAGACTAAACGTGACAAATTAAAAAGTGAACTTAAATTTATCAAGTTTCAAAAGAATCATTCAAGCGTTTCTGTTATTGATTTATATTTCGCTGTCACATTTTTTAATCGTATTTTTAATTGCAATTTTAGCGTCCGAGAGCCGGATGGCGGTGGCTAAGTCCGGAGGTTGAGACGTCCTGGCCTTAGCCGCTTTGTCCGCCTTTTAGTTACCCTACTTATGTATCCTGGTACACAGAAACAACCACCATTTGCCGAGAAGCTCCAGCTCATGGTATTTCTTCAACAAGAGCACAACTAGATGATCGACGTACTTGTCGCGAGTTATACGTTCAGAACACTAAAGACCTTTAACAAAAAACTCAATTATTTTGAAACCTAGAAGAATAGAGTACAAAGTCTGAAGGTGTTGACGAATGACGAACGTCCGATTCCGGAGAGTGAGCAGGCTGAAGAGAGCGAGGTGCACGAAAACACGGGTTTATATAGGGTGCTAAAACTAAGTCAATTGGAAGAAGTTCCTTCAATCCTTTTTTTAAAAAAGATAGTTCCTGCTTATAGTAAGTTGTTTTTCAACAATCCGGATTTCGAGCCCCTTAGCTCATCATCAAGTTGAAGGATTTCTACAACCACATCTCTCGACATGAACTGCACAAGTGAACCCGCTGATACCCCCGCCAACGCGACGTTCCAATGAGGAGCTGGTTTTTTAATGGCGCTCAATTTAAACGTGCGAAAAACGGGAATTATAACACAAAAAATATAATAATAGTAAATACTGTAAGAAATTAATTATAAATTAAGAGATAAAAGATAAAAAATTAGAATAATACCTTAATATTATTAAATTATTATAAAAATAATACCAATTAAAATAATTAATTTAATTATTTGGACATTTAATATTATTTATGTACATATTTAAAATGGGAGGTGGATCAAAATCTATTATATTATTAATGCATTTATCTCCACGTTCAATTTGACATTTTTTAATTTTAAATTTCTCAAACCAATCCAGTTCTCTCTTTGTTGAAACTATGTAACACTGTTGTATTTAAATTTGAATTGAAATTATGTTTTGTTTCTTTTAGATGGTCCTTAAATTCCGAAAATTTGTTTTATTTAGGTAGGTGTTCTTTTACTCTCGTTTTTATTTTTCTACCGCATTGTCCTTTATATTTAATATCACAATCATTACAATTGAGTTGGTAAACCCCGCTTTTTGCCAAGTTGTCTACCTTGTCTTTAGGTTTTGAGAGGATGTTTTTAAGAGAACCCGTACTTGTAAAAGCTATTCTAAAATCTTCTTGTTTAAAAATTTTGCTTTTTCCGATAATTCACCAATGTATGGCACACAACGGAAACCAAATGAATCATTGAACACCGCACTCACTCCATCATTCACCATTTCTAGAAGTTCCTTCAATTCTTAACTACGGGCTGAGGTCAGTCTCTAACAGTTGTTCTTAATCGGCGAAACTGACCATTATTGCCTCGTTAACTAATCATTAACATTATTAACAAATCATTATCAGTATTAAGAATTGTAAACGTTTTACCTAATTAGATAAACCGTGTAAATTTACATAACTAAAATTAATTTAAATTGAATAAATTTATAAGCGATTCGTTTCTCGGCGTCCTCATTTCTATTAACGATTATTTAGAGATCGTGAGATGCGGTCTGATGTGATGTAGGCTTAGAAAAACACTTTCATTATCGTTCCAACGTTTCGACCTTTAATGTGATCATCTTCAGGTCCCGGGATTTATAAATATTGTTTAAATTATAGAAATACCTGTAAGATGTGTATATAGATTTATACAATGATGTACACAATACAGAAATTTTAGGTTTAATCAAAGTATTTGTACTAACTCAAAGTGTGAATTTTCTGTGTAGATGTGTCAAGGTTGTGTTGAGAGGATTAGTGAAATATTAATGTTTTTTGTTTATGTATTTCAATTAACGATTCTGTACATAGTTTTTCGCTAAAAATAGAGATTTAAATATGGAATATTCTTTTCACATTATTCAGAAATGGTGAGATGCGATCTGGTGTGATGTAGGATTCAGAAAAACATTTTCTTTATCGTGCCAACGTTTCGATCTTTATTGAGATCATCTTCAGGGCTCAGTGCTTGTTTTCTGTCGTGTTGAGAGTGCCAATGACGACACGCAAGAATGGCACAATTACGCAGATAACAAACACTTTGAGCCCTGAAGATGATCTCTATAAAGATCGAAACGTTGGCACGATAAAGAAAATGTTTTTCTGAAACCTACATCACACCAGATCGCATCTAACGATTTCTGAATAATCATCGACAAACGGTCACTAATCACCACACATTCTTCTCACAACTGTGCTCTGCCAATATTACTTACATTCTTGACGAATATGGCAATTACAATTAACTTTTTGTATTTTCTGCTAGAAGAAAGATAAGAATTTAATAAAAGACGATAAATTCATTTTCCAAAGAGAACGCCTTGTTTTGCTAGTATTTCTGTTGTTATGAATCTGCAGAAAGATATGTTCAATAATAGGTATGTAATGAACTAATGACATTTCTTTGTTTGATATTCTTTAGATTCTTTTTTTTACATAATTTCTTGAATAGTATGCCAGAACTTTCAGTCGTTTTTATTATTATATGTTATTTGATCGTTTTAGTAGAAGTGTTTGTTTTTGTCTTTCTTTCCAAAATATGAGGAAATGCCGAAATGCGTCTGGATAAACCTGATTATAGGCAAACGATGATTATCGAAAATGACCATGACATTACTTAAATAACCTCTATTGAAAAGTGACATTATTTTTTTAATTTATCTTTATCGAAGGTATTAAATATCAAAATCGTACTTCAAAATTGATTGTGGGATTTTTTTTACTTCATCAACCTTTCCGAGATGTTTGTCTCGAGATAAGATTGGCCTGAAACAAATTTTTTTTACAATTTGACATAATCTTAATAAAATACATTCAAAAAGACAAATTGAGTATTAAGAAGATTTCAAATGAGAGAAGATATATTTTTAGTGAAATTTAATTTCCATAGTTTCCAATCGTCCATTGTAGAAAATTAAATATTGAAATTTTTTGTTGAGGTCTATGGGATGATCCTTTTGTTTTTAATCTTTGGTCTCTTCCGATCATCCTGGCCCACCTACCCTCGGCTGTTTTATTTGTCAGACATTTTCAGTATTTCACAGCATGTATGTAAGCTAGGTGATGTTCATAAAAGTGCAAACGTTACGATTGCTTAAAACTATTGAAACATGTTATGATCGTGTGGTGATTAGTGACCTTTAGTCCATGATTATTCAGAAATCGTGAGATGCGGTCTGGTGTGATGTAGGTTTCAGAAAAATATTTTCTTTATCGTGCCAACATTTCGATCTTTATAGAGAACATCTTCAGGGCCATTCATGTTTGTAAATCCCAGGCTTTGAAGATGATCTCAATAACGGTCGAAACGTTGGCACGATAAAGAAACTGTTTTTCTGAAATCTACATCACACCAGACCGCATCTCACGATTTCTGAATAATCACGTTTTGATCGATGGAAATTCATCATTGGATTTCTTGGTAATCAAATCTTTGAAGAAAACTATTGAGGATCTTGGCACTGATTGCCTTTGCCCTTGTTTCTGATTTTTAATTCACCATATGTTTTATAGAATGGGCTGTTTACCTAACATAATATTAGCCCCTGTAGTCATTTATATATTTGTTGTAATATAAAATCAAACGTATTGCGGATTATGCGGTTGGACAAGACTCATCTTCGTTGATGGGTTTGCTTGTTAATCAACGCTCAAGTACATCGCATTATGATGGCCATTGATCCTTAATATTGCCGACTGGGTGCCTTTGTGTGTTTACAATTTTTTTTCCGCTCGTAGCCACCCCTCCATGACTAATAGCTGTTTACAACCCTCACACTCCTGGAGGGGGCAACTATTCCAGGAGGGGGTAGCAACCTAAAGAGCAGGCCGGGGTTGAATTTCGCCAGTTAGTTTTCTAGTTTGTCCCACTGCGCATTAAGTGACTATGTCAAGATCCTTTTTCGTAGATTCCCTCATCGGGACGAAACCGCCTGCGCCGACGCCGGTCTTCCCGGCCGGCTACTTCTTCTCCTTGGTGCCTCCATTCTACAGGCCTTACTGGAGTCCTCCTCCAAACTGGGAAGAACCTATTTTAAGGCCTAAACCTATCAAGACGAACGTGGAAGAAACCAAGTCTATTCTGCCTCCATCTCCTCCACCAAAAGGTAACTTTTTCTCCAATAAAACTAAGACAAGAAAAAAAATCCGAATGGTTAAGGACGTATCGGTTTTGTTTTAGAGGACTATACTGTAAGACACGGTCTAAAGAGAAGCTCGAGCGAAGAGCCTTCCGATGACTCAGGGAGCAGCAAAAGGATCCGTACAGCGTTCACCAGTACACAGCTACTTGAACTGGAAAAGGAATTTTCCAGCAACATGTACCTATCCAGACTGAGGAGGATCGAGATAGCCACTTGCCTCAGGCTGTCGGAAAAACAGGTCAAGATCTGGTTCCAGAACAGGAGGGTCAAACACAAGAAAGAAGAGACCGGCGGAGGTGACCAGAAGTGCACATGTCTCAGGTCGTGCTCGAACAGAAACAAGGAGGAACAGTGTTCGCCGCAGAAGTACAATTCCGAGGGAAGCGGTGAGATGTCCCCGCAGCAGAAAATACACTCGCCGACTCCAGTCCATCCCCAGATAAACCACAGGCCGCAGATTTCGCCCCAGCTCCAGCCCGTAATGCGGTAATTCGTCCGTTTTCGTTACCATAAACATCATTTTCTTTGAAACTGATGCCTCTTTTTATGAAACCTAGTTTTAAAACATTTCTGTGATTAAGGATTGATCGGCTCAATAACTTTCCATCCACGTGACATTAGTTTTGTAAATAGTGTATATATTAACTAATGAAAGATATATTGTATATTATTTTATACGAGTTACGTTTAATTGAAATATATTTATTTTGCAAAATGAGTAATTTGGTCTTATTATTTTCCTGCAATAATTTTTATTGGATTTAAAATACCGTACAAACATCAAAGCCAGTCACTGAGTAACTAGATAATTTATGGCTTGGCGATATACAACTCCTGAAGAGTAACACCATTTCTATACTTTATTAAAAGTATTTCAATAGAATTAAGTAATAATTTCAATCATTAACACCAAAGCATGTTTTTATATGAAAACTACATTTTGAAAAGAAAAAATTTATACGTTAACAACTAAGAGTTCATAAACACCGTAAGTCAGACATAAAATTTTTTTGAGACTAAAGCCAATTTAAAACATGATTACCCACATTTTTATGAATGTACTACATAAAAAAAACGGTACATAAAAAGTGCTTACTTAAAATAGTTTCTATGTTCAAAGATGACGTTGAACTATAACGCGATCAAAACACTTAAAAATAAAACAACTAAAAGTTCATTATTTCGTTTTTTCTTATGAATATTGAAAAATACTCACAATTTATGATTACGTGTGGTGTTTAGTGACCGTTACTTAATGATTATTTGGAGATCGTGAGATGCGGTCTGGTGTGATGTAGGTTTCAGAAAAACATTTTCTTTATCGTGCTAATGCACTCTCAACACGCAAGAATGGCACAATTACACAGAGACAGACACTTTGAGCCCTGAAGATGATCTCAATAAAGATCGAAACGTTGGCACGATAAAGAAAATGTTTTTCTGAAACCTACATTACACCAGACCGCATCTCACCATTTCTGAATAAATATTTTCTATATCGTGCCAACGTTTCGATCTTTATTGAGATCATCTTCAAGGCTCAAAGTGTTTTTTTTCCGTGTAGATGTGTCATTCTTGTGACCGCATCTCACGACATCCAAATAATCATTTATGCATTTACTAGTGATTGTTTTGTAATCCTGCGTAACAAAAAAATCTTTACTCTACCCATTTTATCTGTTTTCGATTTGTAAACACATACACACGCAACTACGACAAAATACATATTTTCTCTTTAAAACTTTCAAATCGTCATTCATGCCAAACAACATGGCGTCCTAAGCACACCGTTCATAATATTATTTACAATAGAAAAAAAGAGCTTTGTGTAGTCACAGCCCAAATACAAATATAAGTAAGTTTCATTGTAAGCAATGATAGACAATTGACAATCGGTTTCATAAGAGAAAAAACTATGATTTTCAAAATCATAATTACGTTAACTATGTGTGTTGATTAGTGACCATTAGTCCATAATTATTCAGAAATCGTGAGATCTCACACTCTAAACACGACACGCAAGAATGACACATCTACACAGAAGAAAACACTTTTAGCCCTGAAGATGATCTCAATAAAGATCGAAACGTTGGCACGATAAAGACGATGTAGGTTTCAGAAAAACATTTTCTTTATCGTGCTAATGCACTCTCAACACGCAAGAATGGCACAATTACACAGAGACAAACACTTTGAGCCCTGAAGATGATCTCAATAAAGATCGAAACGTTGGCACGATAAAGAAAATGTTTTTCTGAAACNTCATCGTTTATTAATTTCATTGATGGTTAACATAGAAACAAAAAATTTTCTATGACGACCAATATTTTAATTTGGAATTATTTAAAAAGATAAATCAACAAAACACTGTTTTTTTTGCATATTTTAACAAACGTTTTGTAAGCAAAGTAGTTCAAAACGTGTTCAAAACTTGGATTTGGCTCCCTTGTCCTGATTCTATTTAAACATTCAAATGGGACTATTAAATCCAATTTTTTAGGGATAAAAAAATTGATAAATTTAAAGACAAACAAACATTTATAATTAGGCGTTAAAATGAAATTTCATATTATTTTCACGAGATAAAACGTTTTTTATGTTCTAGTTTGCTTGAAAAATATTTGGTCGTTACCTTTTACTTATTTTTATTGCAATATATATAAAATGACGCTGTAAAATGATATATTCACGTAGTTGATTTGAGCAAGTATAAAGACGAAATAAAAATATTAAAAAACGGAAAATTTCTCTTTCTAAATTTGGTCGCGAAACCAGGCCCTATTCGCAAGAGTGGCGTATACGTGGCCGATATTTTGGAGTGTAGAATCGAAAAAAAATGTTTGGTACAAATCTGTGACACCAACCTTGTGAGATTAAAAACTTAAAGTACTTCAAATACAAATTGAGCTTAATTATCAAAATTGTAAATTTTATGGTTGTTGGTTTTCAGCTGGATGAACACATGTTAAACTTTTTAACATTTTTTTGGGGGCGTCGCTGGCTTTTAACTCAAACGCGTTTCGGCTTAATTCCATCGTCAGGTAGGAAAAGTAATCAGTGTTGTTCAATTGTATAAAATTTGCTCCGCGGTACTGGTAACTTGAATTTAAATTTAAACATTAATGAAATTGTGTATTAATTCATTCATTTTGTTAGATTATTAAAAAGAAAGCCAAATGTTGTAAAAATGTTTTAATTTATTGAAAAATATCAATTTTTTTTAGTAAATGTGGTCGAAGTATAACTTAATTCACGTGTGAAGAGACGTGAAAGGGTGCCCAGAGGTACTTCCTATAAATATTCGGATGTTACAACGAAGTGGACCAACCACTTTGACTTTTCTCGATTTTTTATCGTGCAATAGTGAAAATCCTTTCCCTTTCCGGTTTCAAAGTCATGCCGGTTCAATTTTCATAAAGGACAAGGCCCTGGACTTTCGCCTTGTAGGGCCCCGCGTTTTGAAAACTCTACCTTGAAGGATAAGTATCTCCAGTCAGGCCTATTGTGACTCTCACAACTGTTGACGACGGCATTGTGGCCCGAACCCCTTTGTCGAGAGGGCAAGTTTGCGGTTTATTTGTATTTGAATTCCCCAGTTGCTTAAGCAGATGTAGGCACGGATTACCCGATTTTAATGGGCGACCTGGAGTTTTCGTTCCCTTTGTGATTACAGGCGGAATAAGCATAACGCTACCGATCCAGGAATGTATTTTCACGAATTACACACCGGCCCGTTCACATTATCGTTAATAATTTTTTTTATACAGGCTGCACAAAATGAACATAGAAATATTTTTGTAAGCCAGACAAATATTGTCATTAGTTTGATGGAAACTGAACAATCAATGTATCTATTTAACTTCCTTTTAATAAGTATGTATTCTTTGTGTATGATGTTTTATTGGTTTTAAGTATTTGGATCATTATGTATCTTCTAAATTAAGCATTAATGTGTGATGATTAGTGACCGTTAGTCGATGAATNTGATTGAATATTAAATAAATATTTTTTTGTATTGTATAAATTCACTTTCTTCCACATCCTACATGTATTTGTTAAATTTAAACAATGTTTGTAAATTCCAGGCTCTGAAGATGATCTCAATAAAGATCGAAACGTTGGCACGATAAAGAAAATGTTTTTCTGAAACCTACATCACACCAGACGGCATCTCACGATTTCTGAATAATCATGGACTAACGGTCACTAATCACCACACATTTTAGAAAAATATTTTCTTCATCGTGCCAACGTTTCGATCTTTATTGAGATCATCTTCAGGGCTGTTTGTGTTTGTTTTCTGCCTAATTGTGTCAACACGACACACAAAAATTGCACAATTACGCAGACCTCCGAATAATCAGTTAAGCATTAAAATAGTTTTTGCTTTACAGAACTAATATTTTCGATATTTTTAAAAAATAATTATTATAGTATTACATCTGTATATAAATGCATATTGAGCACCAGCGTCAATATTTGAACTGACCCATTGCTCCAAAACATTCTTTTTGTATTCGGCTAGTATTTGCGATAAAACAACTAACCATAATTCTGTACAACCAGATTGGCAGATTTTCGTAAATTTTCGTAAATCTAGTTGAAACTATTTGATCATTATAATCAGGGTAATCCATGCTATTTGGACACTACAATATTTTTTCCACTTAATAGAAATGTAGTTTCAAACAACTGACTTTCTTAATTAGTCAATTAATTAAGGTTTTAAGTTGAGATAAAAATGTCAGTGTGTCAGAGCGGGATTCGAACCCACGACCTCTCCGCTAAATACGGTGCTACTCTACCACTTGAGCTATACCACTTCGATCCACTCGGACACTAACTTGGCGGTCGCCGAAGGGCAGGAAACCCACTGACGAATGAAAGATTAGAAAAAGAACCATGAAAAGGGCTCTTCAATCTCAATCGGCCATACTTTTGTCAATAAAAATATTCACGATTAACAGAACTTTTTGCTGCGATCAGGTTATAAATTGAATGCGATCAGAGTATAAATTTCCAGTATAACTGGTAAAATATAATAAGCAAGTGAAAAATGGCAAAAAGGAAGGAAAAATTGAAAAGGTGAGGTTGAGATGGGAGTTAGTGTCCGAGTCGATCAAGGTCACGATAGCTCAAGTGGTAGAAAAGCGGTGTATCTAGCTGAAGGTCGTGGGTTTGAATCCCTCTCGTGACACTGACTTTTTTATCTCAACTTAAAACCTTAATTAATTGAATGATATTAATTGGTCAAGCGGACCACGAAAAAAGTGAATTTAATTTTTTAATTAGTTTTTCAAGACAAGTTCAACAAATAAATATGATCCGAGAGGCTATGGATTTCAAATTGTAATATTATTCAGCGATTGAAACACTGACTGAACCGATACAACTAAGATAGTAAATTAGGTTAAAAACTAAATTTTTCAGGAATTGTCAGCGACGTTAATTATATTATTCTCATTACACTGTGTACCAAAATTTTATTATATACTTTGCAAAAGAAATAAATTTTAATAAATAAAAAATTATTTTTATTGTAAGAACCAGTCTCTCGAATTCTTTCTTGTTAAGTGACTGATGGAGTTATGTAGTGCTTTGTATAGAAATAAATTTATGGA